TTATCTCTCCTCTTTCTTTTCTTTGTGTTTTTCTCTCTTGTAGTACCTCATCTTTGGCACTTTTAATGACTTAATTGGGTTGCAAGTGCCGCAAAACTCTTACTAAAATTGAACTGGCGTGGTTCACACATTTTGTCCTATCAAGAAACAGCCTCAGCCCTATTGGTCCTACTTTTCTTTGTATGTTACTCTCTTCTAACACCTCTAATCTTCGGCACTTTTATGACTTAATTGTGTTGCAAGTGTTGAAATAATCTTACTAAAGCTAATGGTATGAGATTGGTTTGCATGAGTTACTATTACTTGTAAACTTTACTTTTGGGGTGGAGAGGGGGGGGGAAGATGAATAGAGAAAGAAAAGGAAGTATGGAGAGATAGGGGCAGAGGGAGAGAGAGGAAAAGAGAAAGAGATGAAGATTTGCACATGCAGACACACATAATGCACAGAAAGACAGACTGAAGACAGACTAAGAGAGACAGAGAGAGAGAGAGAGAGAGAGAGAAAGAGCGAGAGGGAGGGGGAGAGAGAGAGAGAGAGAGACAGAGAGACAGAGAGACAGAGACAGACAGAGACAGACAGAGAGAGAGAGAAATAGAAAAAGAAAGAGATAACAAAGTATATCCTCAAGTATAGTGCAAAAATCATTTCCCTATGGGTACTGGAAGGTTCAATGTGTGTAATGTTGGCTACAGAAAGTTCAGAATGTGTGTCTGTCTGTGAAATGACTTCTTATTGTTTGCGTGTTTGTGTAAAGAGCTTACTTTCTTGTTGTGTGTATTTGTTAATGACAGAGTGTGTTGTTTTAACTGGCATTTAAGGTATAGGGGTAGGCACTCTACTGCAGCATGCAAGAGACCCAAGTGCAATTCCGGAGTGGGGAGAATTTTCCTGGGAAGTTTTATCCTCTCAGCCCGAATTATAACACTAATGATGACAATAATAGACAGTCACAGGAACACTGCTTTGTCAGCAAGTGGGAGAGGAGGTAGAGGAGATAAGTCATCAAGGAAACGTATAACAACAGCAGAAACAATTTTTAACAATAATGATATGAATGTTTGGAAACTCACCTTCAAAATAATCTAAATTATGTTGATGGGGGCGTAAGAACTTCTATATTTATGAAGTTATAATTTTGGAGTTTTTTTGTGCATTGCAGAAACAAACAGAGCAGCTGAGCTTCATCGTCGCTCTACTCATCCAGTACCTTCCGTCCATCATCATCTCCGTCCTCAACTTCTTCATCCCAGAAATTTTCCTCAAACTGGCTGAGGTGGAGGAATATTCCAACAACTTTACCACGCGCATCACCATTGTCAGGTGAACAGATGTTTTCATTCTCTCTCTCTTTCTCTGTCTTGCTCTATCTCTATCACTCTCTCTCTCTTTTTTCTCTCTCTCTTTCTCTACCTTCTGTTCTATCTGTCTCTGTCCCTCCTTTTCCTTTCTCTCTCTCTCT